GTTAGTCCTCTGGCCAGAATGCTGAAACTTTACCCAACTCTGCCACACTCTGTACCTGTGTTGATGTCCGGTGGTAAGAAAACACAGAAAATAACAGTGAAGTTTGCCACACACTCTTGAAACCAAAGCCTCTCTGATCAGAAAATAAGGTTCCTGTATTAGTCTGGTTTGTGTTGCTATAAAGGAATATCTAAGATTGGGTAATTTTTAAGGCATAATTGGAGGATGCCTGTGATAGCAATAAGCATCTCCCAAAACTGACTCAATGTCACAGAACTGCAGTATTATAAAGTTTCAGAAAATCAATCATTTTCTTATTAGGACAAAGTTACCCTCTAATTTCTTAGTTGTTACGTATTCTAGGAATCAATATTAGTTTCTTTTATGGGATTAGCACTTTGGTGTCTGGTTTAAAAAAGCTTTCCCCAGCCCAAGGTCATAAGATGTTTCATTTATTTTCTCATGGATATCAAATTGACACAGTGAAATGTACTGAAAAAAAAACACATTTCCCCCACTGGTCTGCAGTGCCACTTTTGCTACACACCAAGTGTCCACAGAGGTATGCACAATTCAGAGACAATTAAGGCATAATTAAGAGAATAAAATGTGAGCCACAGAATAGAACAGATTTGTAATAAAATGTGAGCCACAGAATAGAACAGATTTACATAGATACCGACAGCTATAGATGGAGCTGTCGGTATCTATGTAAAAGTAGACATATACATATAACTATCAAAAATCTTGCACCACAGGGCACACACACACACACACATAATCCCCCCAAAAACAAGTCAATAAGTATGTGAGGGAAAAAGCGTTCAGTCTCGTCAGTAATCAAGGAGATGCAAATTAAAACCACAGGAGACAACACTTTACACATTCCAAAATAGCTAAAATCTAAAAGCATGACAGTATTAACTACGGGCAAGGCTGCAGAACATAAGAAATTACCTTGCACTACACTGCTGGGTACATTGGTACACTGTCACAACCACAGTGAAAAATAGTTTGACAATATCTGATAATGGATTATACTCCTATAACCCAGGAATTCCACTCCCACATACATATATATATATATATATATATATATATATATATACACATACACACACACACACACATATGAGGGCAGGGAGGAGGGTAGGGGGCAGGAAGGAGACTCAGGGTATATATATGAGGGTGAGGTTAGAGGAAAGATGAGAAGGAGGGAGAGAGGAGAGAAAGAATGGACAGAAGAAGAAAGATGGATCAAAGAAAGGAAAAGACAGAAGAAAGAAACATGGTAAAATGATCCACACTGGTCACCTGGTATGAGCCAAATATTATGTGGGTAAATATTATTTTATCCACATAATATTTAAACCTCACATCTCAACCTTCTAAGGTAGATACTGTCTTCTCACTTTATAAATATATATATATATATACCCGAAACAAATGCACGCCTATGTGCACCAAATGACATATGAAAGAATGCTGTGGCAGCGATAGTGAAAACCTAGAAACAACCAAAATATCTGTCGGCAGCAAAAGTACATAAACAAACTGTGGTGTTTTCTTACAAGTGAGTACTGCACAGCAATAAAAATGAAGAAACCACAACTGCACACAAAGTAGACGACTACCATACACATAATGCTGAGTAAAACTGTCCAGAACAAAAGATGACATGCCAGATAATTCCACCTACATAATTTTAAATGAGGGCAAACTAATTTATACTGTTAGAAGTCAGATAACTAACTTTGTGGGGAGAGTGGGAGTAATGATTGGGACTGGCCAAGTAGAAGTTTCTGGGGTGTGAACAGTGTCCTATTTATTTTGACCTGGTTTGAGGGTTTAGGTGTTCACTTTGTGGTGACTCACCCATGGTATATTTGTTTTGTGCACCTTACTTTTTTATGCGTTACACTTACCAATCAAAGTAATTTTGAAACTAAATAGATCAGAGACCTCAGGACTGGATTATGCAAGAAAAGAAAAGGGATATAAAGTGCATGAAATTTTATTGCTCCCCTCAGCCCTTCCTTTCTTCTTCTGTAAGCAAAGTTAATAGACCAGGAAATATTTACAGTTTACCCTCAACCATAAGATACTGAGAATACCTATTACATTCAGTACACCAAGATGAGAACTGCTTGCTGGAGTTAGAAGTATAAAAATGGGAATTGTGGGCAGGGCGCGGTGGCTCACGCCTGTAATCCCAGCACTTTGGGAGGGTGGGGCAGGTGGATCACGAGGTCAATTGATCGAGACCATCCTGGTCAACACGGTGAAACCCCGTCTCTACTAAAAACACAAAAATTAGCTGGGCATGGTGGTGCACACCTGTACTCCCAGCTACTCGGGAGGCTGAGGCAGGAGAATTGCTCGAACCCGGGAGGCGGAGGTTGCAGTGAGCCGAGATCGCGCCATTGCACTCCAGCCTGGGTAACAAGAGAGAAACTCTATCTCAAAAAAAAAAAAAGGTAATTGTG